CGGGGGGGGGCATCCTTGTTTAGCCAGGTGCCCAGATGGGCTTCCATCCCCCACCTAAGCACCCCGAGGCCCCCCCCATCCAAACTCAACTTCACAAAAATGCCATCGACTGCGGGGATTCTCCCCGCTGCCCGGGCTCAGGCCAAGCCTTGAAATCCCTGGGCAGCCTCCCAGCCTCCAGCTGATGAAGGTTCCTTCTGCCTGAGGCCGTGACCTGGCCAATGCAGACCTTCCCGGGCTTCTTGAGGGAGACAGCTGCCGTGCCCCCGCAGTCACGGCACCAACACATTCATCTGAAGGACTTGAGCGTGCAAGCGGCTGGCATGGATGCGGCACGGCCTCCCTGGACACTGCGTACGGAGCCACTCGGCTGCCTTGCCTGAGGCGGTCGAGGTGAGACATCTCGCGCACGCCATGGCCTTGTCCTGATTCAGGATAGCCTGGTGTGAAGAAAAGGCCAGCAGCCCAGCGAGGCTATCAGCGTGCTCAGCCTTCCGACGTTTAGCGTCGCGCCTCCTATGCTCCACGCTGCTGGCTCCATACATCGCGGTGGCGGCCTGGGCAACACGGGCCGAAACAGCTAAGAGATGCTCCTGGATTCTGCGCGTGAGATGGTCCAGTCTCACAACCTCAGCAATCGCCCAGCCTGGTAGCTGCATGTCTCTCGCTGCCTCATCGGCCAACTTATCAGCAATGTAGTTCCCAGCCCAGTGCTCGAGCCTGCTTCCCCGCACCTGGATGGAATCTAGGGCCGACTCGTGGGACTTGACCTTGACCGCGCGTACTCTCCTGCCCTCACACTCTTGCCGAAAGAGATCCCAGAAGTATGCATTCTCCAAGCTCTTCCTCCTGGGACCCTGGTTAACGCCAAGGACAAGAGAGTCGCTATCCCCCACAAAGACGATATCACCTTCCGTGAGCTGGGCCATCATAATGCAAGCCCAGAGTTCTGCTAACTGGACTGTCTGCTTACAACTCGGAAGCGGGCCTTTGGCCCATCCAAGACAATCCTGATCCAGGAAAACGCCAGCCCCCCAGGTACATTTCCTGAGCTTGGGATCAGCCGAGTAGGCTCACCCGGAGCCATCTACGGCAATGAAAGCACCTCCGGGAAAAACGATCTTCCCCGCGCACAACTCGCTGCTCAGGGTCTCATTGCCTTGGATGGCCAGCTGCGTGGGATTGCAGGTCCAGGCGAGAGGAGGATGCCCACGCAACCAGGAGCGCGGTTCCCCATCGCACCCCTCACGCGCTTGGCCCACGAGATCCCAATCCAGCCCAGGGTCAGCAATGTCCTGGTTACACTGACACTCCCAAATCTGGTGAAACAGGGTCTCCTCGCAAAGCCTACATCTCGGGCAGAGTGTTTGAGTCCACTCTTCTCGTTGGACCACCTGAAGGTCCGCCAGCTCTGGGGACTCTCCAGCGAGAAAATCTTGCTTCTCATCCTCCCCCGCCTCACGAAGAGACTCCTCCTCCTCCAGATCGGCTTCAGGGGCGTCCATGGACGTCTTCGCCACAGGGGGAACCTGAGGGGTCGGAGGAAGATCAGGGGAAGGAGGCACCGCAGCAGCAGTAGCAGCTCCAGATGACGAGGCACGAATGGAGGGTCCCCTACTCGCGGTTCCAAAGCGCCTAGCCGCAAGCCGGAGGGCACCAGTAGCTGCCAATCTGAGGACGGCTGCTCGATCATATGCACTCTTACCGGCTAGACTGGCACAACGCATCTTCAAAACCGTGAGATCGACGCCATCCTGAGCTCCATTTCCTTGGACGGTCAAATGCCTCATGGTCAAGTGCCTTGCGGATCTCAGAATCCAACATCCAACACTCATGGTCAAGTGCCTTGCGGATCTCAGAATCTAAAACATTCTCACGATCCATCTCTAGAATCCTACGCTCGGCGCCTCCAAGGGTCCTCTAAACCGTGGGCTCCAGGGGCTCCCAACGAAGATCAAGGAGGCTCCCCAGAACAGCCCCGATGAGACCTTTGACTCTTCCCCAGGGACGCACTCCCGCACGGAGATGCTCCAGCATTTTCCTCCACGCGGTCCCAACAGCTTGCATCCTATCGTCGAAGTACAGGAGAATGTCTAGCCATGCTTCAAACACCTGCGTTCGTCCTTGGACCATGGGATCGTCCTTGTCGCTAAACCCTAGCCTGATGCAGGTGACTTTGAACCCACCTGGTCACTTGTAGCCGGTGAGGGCTGCAATGAAGCAGACCTCCTCCTGCCCCTCCTCCTCCTCCTCCTCCTCCTCCTCCTCCTCCTCCTACAACTCCTCCTCCTTCAACTCCTCCTACTCCTCCTCCTCCTCCTCCTCCTCCTTCTCCTCCTCCTCCTCCTCTTCCTTTTCCTCCTCCTCCTTTTCGTTCGGGCCGAATGTAAATGGCTGTGCACGTTGTGTCACGCGATCGCCCGTGTGTCTCAGGAGGCGGAGTTTAGCACGACGCCGTGCCTTGCGGCGGCCAAGACCTCTTTCGAGTCTTGATGACCATGGGGTGGTGCGGGCCAGTGGGTCGAAGAGGAGGAGGAGGACAAGGAGGAGGAGGAGGAGGACGACAAGGAGGACGAGGAGGAGGAGGAGGAGGAGGAGGAGGAGGAGGAGGAGGGGGAAGGGCTGTCACTCCTCTCATGATTTGCCCTTCTGGCCCAGGCTTGGGCTGCACTGTTTGCATGGCGTGCGGCAAGAGCTGCCACGGAGGACCGAGGCCATTCTTGGCTGCCGCGTGCCGAGCCCGCGCCAGGAGGTGTCTCGAGAACCTCACTCCTCCTCCTCCTCCTCCTCCTCCTCCTCCTCCTCCTCCTCCTCCTCCTCCTCCTCTCCAGCGGGATTCCGCACGGGCGTCTCCCAGGACGGCTCCGGCGAGAGCGCAGGGCACTGTCGGGCGGGGGGCCGTCCTCCGTGGGCCGCCGCCCGGGGTTTTAGTCGGGTGCCGAGTTCGCTGCCACCGTGCGGATACCAGCGAACTCCAGCGAGTTCCTCGTCCTCCTCCTCCTCCTCCTCCTCCTCCTCCTCCTCCTCTCGTCCTCCTCTCGCCCTCCTCCTCCTCCTCCTCCTCCTCCTCCTCCCCTCCTCCTCCCCTCTCTCGTCCTCATCTCGTCCTCCTCCTCCTCCTCCTCCTCCTCCTCCTACTACTCCTCCTCCTCCTCCTCTCGTCCTCCTCCTCCTCCTTCCTTCCTTTCCCTTATGCGTGACTTCTCCCTGTCGCAGCCCGAGGCCAGTTTGTAGGGCGGGCTGGGCGTTTCGCCTGAGACTTCCTCACCATGTATGACCCTGAAGCTCAAACCATGGCAACAACTTCACAGATGGATGGCGGGTCGTTTTCAAAATGTGGCTCTCGCCTGAGCGCCGCGCACATTCGCTCTAAACACTTGCAAGAGCTTCACGGGTTGAGGGCGGGCCGTTTTCAAAATGTGGCTCTCGCCTGAGCGCAGCGTAAATGCGTTTTAGAAAGCTGCGAGAGCTTCACGGGTTGAGGGCGGCTCCTTTTCAACATGTGGCTCTCGCATTAGCGCCGCGTACATTCGTTTTAAACATTTGCAAGAATTTCGCGGATTGAGGGCGGTTCCTTTTTCAACATGCGGCTCTCATCTTAGCGCCGCCCACCTTCGTTTCTATATTAAAAACGTGCTCGGTTTTCACGATTTCCCATGCTCAACGCTCTAGCAAGAGTGTTTTGGAAATATTCACGACTATGGGGGGTGCAAGAATTACTTTGACTCGCGGTGTTGGAATCCCAAGACTGGTCTCTGGCACGATTCAAAATTGTCCAGACGCAACCCTTAAATTGATCCGTGGCGTTGGAATTCCGAGAACAATGTTTTGGCATGCTTCAGGGCTTTCAAACGACTGTCTTCCAATGGGGCAGTTCCCTCAGTGGGAATGACCCGCTGTAGGGGCCTATGAAGAGAGAGCTTGGAGGGAGGGTTGATTCCAACATCGTTGATGACTCTTGGGCTTACACACCCAAAAGGTCCGTTTACCCCCCGCCGAGGTGTCTCGACCTGCGCGCTCGAGCGAACCCAGCGGACTGCGCAGTCGTAGGGAGGGGGGGGGGGAGGGATCAGGCCAGGAGGAGGAGGGAGGAGGAGCTGCATGGCACGCACATGGGTCCGCGTCCCCCACGCTTGCTGTTTAGTAGCCTCTCTTCCTGCCGAGGCAAGAAGGCAGCTCCGTGTGCAGCAACTGCTGCTAGGGACGCGAGAAAAACCTGCCCTGCTTGACCAGTTCTAGCAGGAGAAAATGGCAGGAGCGTTGCCAATATCGTCAACATTGCCCCTGGTGCCAAATTCATCGCCAGCAAGGCGGAAAGCATGAGCGTTCGAAGCAGCGCTGGAACTAATCAGTGGCACATGTCACCGAAGACACAGAGCAAACGAATGCTATCAACAACAATTGCCTCGGACAACGAAACGAAACAGCAAGGCATATGAACCGCTCCCCAGCCCAGAAGCCCATTCGAGGACATCACCACTTGTTAGCACCAGGGGAGGACGATGCTTCCATGTTGTCGTAGGGGGCAAGGAGGAGAAGCAACAACAGGAACAATGACAAGTAGTCAAGAGGCGCACCGCAGCCTAAACAGAGACCTTCGCTGAGGAAGGGGCCCACATGAGAGGCCGCAGACAGAAAAACGTGCAATATATACGGATGTGGGCGAGATTGGGCAAGGGGGAGGGGGGAGGATACTACACATAACAAGGTGTTGAGCAGGGGCCGACCGTTCCGGCATTCCTAGAGGCCTACCAGCTACCACGACATGTTCGTAGAACCCAAACATGTTGTAAAACATAGCGTTGTTCTTAGAACATAAGCCCACTGCGCTAGAACAGAACAGTCTCGGCCAGAAATCTTCTAAGAACATTACGTGCCAGCCTCAAAAGGCTCTTAGAGCGTTTCTGGTGGGCCTATAGGCAGGCCAGGACGCTTCGCCACTGCGTGAATGTGGGCAGCTTGTGGTGCGCTGGCCCCCCCAGCGCGCCGGCGTGCACCACGGCGAAGAGCAGCAGCCGCAGCTGACGCGAGGCCGCCTGGCGCCGCAGGTGCTGCAGGCGCTGCAGCGCCTGCGCCTCCTCGGCCGGGCGGACACGGGCGGCGGCGGCCGCGTTTTTGTCCACACCACTTCCGAGGGCTGCGGGGGCCCGGAGATCCGACGTCGTGACTTTGTTCCATGCGCGGTCCCCAGAAGTCTCGACCCATTCCCCAGCACCGGGCTTTCCTCCCGGGTCGTCTTCTGACGGTCCCGAGGCCCGGCGCGGGCCCCCAGGGGCCGAGATTCGCGAAGAGCCTCCGTCGTGATTTTCTCAAGACGTTGGCTCTCTGGGGGGGGGGGCCAGCACAGAGACGCCATGCGCGGATGCAGATGCGGCCTCGCCATCCCAAGGGAGCGCTGCGAGCTGCGAGGCGGCCAGGCGGCCAGGCGGCGACGCCAGGTGGCGACGTCGACGGCGACGACGACTACTCCGGATCGATTTCGGCTGCGGCCGACAAGACGGTCCAGAACATTATCATTCAGGAAGCCTGAGCCAGCGTCACGAAGTTTCTGGTAACGGCCCTGGGCCAGCTTCTGTCGCCACCGCCGGAGAGGCGAACGTGGTCAAGGAACTGGGCCAGCCTTCCGGCGAGTTCGTTGAGAAACGCTGGCCCAGCTTTTCGAAAGGCTTCGTAACCAAATGCTCGACTGTACTTGAGGCTCACCTGGAGCTTCTTCCTCGATTATTTCGGACGTCACAAGAATCACGAGGGACTGATTGTGTTGCTGTTTTCGGCTTCTGATGAGGACAGCACAACCCACCCCCAGCCCCACCCAGGGCACCCACCTCCGACCTGGTGATCCAGGGTGCCCTGGGTGGGGGTGGGGGTGGGTTGTAAGAGCCGCGGGGCCCAAAAACCCGCCCCCACCCCCACCCAGGGCATCCTGGATCACCAGCTCGGAGGTGGGTGCCCTGGGCCCAGACCCCCGACGTCATGATTTTTTCATGACGCGACCCCCAGAGGTCCCGACCCATTCCCCGGGACCGGTTTTTCGTCCTGAGTCGTTTTTTGACGGTCCCGAGGCCCGGCGAGGGCCCCCGGAGGCCGAAAATAGCGAAAAACCTCCCGTCGTGATTTTTTCACGACGCGAGGAGGTCTGGGGGTGTGGGGGTGGGCTGTGCTGTCCTCATCTGATGTTCCTCGCCAAGCCCCGGGGCCATCAGGAAGCGGCTCGGACGAGAGGCCAGCGCCCCGGGGAGAAGGGCCCAGGCCTCGGCGGATCGACGCTGCGAACCACTCATGGGAGGTCTGGGCGCTCTGACCAGCCTCGAAGGTATCCCTATCCCTGAGATTGACACGCCAAAAGGCGACGACAATCTTAGGGATTCGCCCTCAAAAGATAAGGGAGTCTCTAAGATTGGCATCGTGATGAGGAGGTGCCCAGCATAGGGATAGGGATCTGTTCCAGGCTGGTAACTCTCCCACTCTTTCAGACCAAGCGTCTTCGCCACAGTGTCGGGCTCCAGGAGCATCACAGGTCGATCTGGTCTGAAGGCTGCAGCATGGAGGATGGGGTCTACCGTCGAAATACATGGCAAGGGCGGGCGGTCAGGACGCAAGGGCCTCGGACGCCGAAATGGGCATCTTTTTGGGGGCGGCGGACTGCCAACACCCTGAAGGGCTGGCCAGTGAAAACCGCGAAGGACGGGCCGCAGAGGCAAGGACGCAAGGGTACCCCAAGGACAGACGTGCGTCATTACAGTGAATTTTGACTGTAGGGCTGCAGTGGCGGTTTTTCGCGATGTTGCGCTTTGTTTGGCACCGTCGGACCTCAGGGGACGGAGACGACCACGACGACGGCGACGAGGTCGACGAGGACGGCGGCAACAACTCCAATCCCTGACGGTATGATTTTCTTGAATCCGAACATGTTGCTCCCCAAGTGCCCCCCAATAACTAGGCCCCAAAACGGCCCCCAAGAGGGCTCACAACTGCATCCAAGAGGCCCCCGAGAGGCCTCCCACGAGATTCCGACGAACATTTAGGCTTACAAACCATAACCCAGGCACGGTGGCGGGACTTACCGTAGGCAGCTGGATCCCAACGTGTTGCTCCCCGACGTCGGCCACCAAGGACCGACTTCGGACGCAGGGGCCATCAAGCATAGATCCAGGACGGAAAACTGCCACCCAAGGCAAGGGGTGGGGAGCTCATGGGGGCCCGGACGGGCCAAAAAAACACGCATCGTCAAGAGTCCCCAGCGTCCTCCTCCTCCTCCTCCTCCTCCTCCTCCTCCTCCTCCTCCTCCCTCTCCTGGAATCGGCTGCCGACAACAGAATCCCGGGACCAGGGTGTCCCCAGCGTCCATGGCAACACTTCGGAGCACTGGGCGCCCCTTCTGCGCCTCGACTGGGACTGGATCCTGTTGGGGCCGCCAGGGCCTCCCGGGGACACCCTGGGCCAGGCTCGTGCCCGTCTCTGCCCGGAAGATGTGGCGGTGGTCACTGAAGCACGTCCCGAGCAGAGCAGCACGCGCCGCGACCACGGCGACGCCGGCGGAGACGAGGCGCGCTTACTAGCGAAACTCGTGGTGGGGAGGGATGCCCCCTACTCTAGAAAAAGAAGAATATCTAAATTAGCCTGACGAGGGACCCAACCATATGCAGGTGCGAGTACCGCAATAGTGTTTCACTTTTTCGGTGGCGATCCCTATGAGGCAACGAACCGTGCTAGGGGTGTGCCGACATGAGTGGCGTGGTACACAACGCGAACGAAAACGATTGATCTGAGTACGTAGGGAGACTGAGCGCGGGTGAATCAGCGCGCGCGCGTCTGACTGTGAATGAATCTGCGTGCGAACGAGTCTACGTGCATGAATGCGAATATGGCAAAGCGTGGTGCAATTGTGTATGAATGTCAATAGTTTGACAATGACTGCCTCTGAGTACTCGTGACGCTGGGCGTGGCCGCCGCAAGGAGCTTCCCCTGGACTCCCCGACGGCATCGCCCGCGCGCCACGACGCCAATGTCGGCGCGCCCCCCCGCGAGGATCGCGCCCGCTTCCTCCCCTTCCTTTACTCCCTCTTTGCCCGCGCACTCAAAAGTCCAAGGCTGCGGGCGCAGCGCAGCGCGGAGTCCCCGCGACGCGCGCAGGTCGCCCCGGAGGGGTCCCAGCTACGCGCGCGGGTCGCCCACTGCGCGGAGCAAAGAGAGCTAGCTGGCTGGCTGATAGCGGGCAAGGCTCTTGCCGCTGGGCAGAGCGACGACGGGCGAGCGAGGCGCTGGGCAGAACGCAGCACGGAGCCCCCGCGACGCGCGCAGGTCGCCCCGGAGGGGTCCCAGCGACGCGCGGGGGTCGCCCGCTGCGCGGAGCAAAGAGAGCTAGCTGGCTGGCTGGGACCTGCGGTGGGGCTCCATATGGGGCCACGTAACGCTGTACTGGGCAAGGGAGACGCATGCGGACTGCGCCACGGGGACCTTCGGTGGAGTTCCCAAAGGGACCACGAAACGTGTGAGGGGTGTGCTGACATGAATGGCGGGGACGCATGCGGACTGTGCCACCGGGACCTTCGGCGGAGCTCCTACGGGGCCACGAAACGTGTGAGGGGTGGGCCGACATGAATGGCGGAGACGCATGCGGACTGTGCCACCGGGACCTTCGGCGGAGCTCCTATGGGGCCACGAAGCGTGTGAGGGGTGTGCCGAAACGAGCGGCGGGGGCGCATGCGGACTGCGCCACGGGGACCGTCGGTGGAGTTCCTATGGGGCCACGAAACGTGAGGGGTGTGCCGAAATGAGTGGCGGGAACACATGCGGACTGTGCCACTGGGACCTTCGGCGGAGCTCCTGTGGGGCCACGAAACGTGTGAGGGGTGTGCCGATATGAGTGGCGGGAACGCATGCGGACTGTGCCACGGGGACCTTCGGCGGAGCTCCTGTGGGGCCACGAAGCGTGTGAGGGGTGTGCTGACATGAATGGCGGGGACGCATGCGGACTGTGCCACCGGGACCTTCGGCGAAGCTCCTATGGGGCCACGAAGCGTGTGAGGGGTGGGCCGACATGAATGGCGGAGACGCATGCGGACTGTGCCACCGGGGCCGTCGGCGGAGCTCCTATGGGGCCACGAAGCGTGTGAGGGGTGTGCCGAAACGAGCGGCGGGGGCGCATGCGGACTGTGCCAATGGGACCTTCGGCGGAGCTCCTGTGGGGCCACGAAACGTGTGAGGGGTGTGCCGACATGAGTGGCGGGGACGCATGCGGACTGTTCCACTGGAAGCTTCGGCGGAGCCCCTATGGGACCACGAAACGTGTGAGGGGTGGGCCGAAATGAATGGCAGGGGCGCATGCGGACTGTGCCACTGGGACCTTCGGCAGAGTTCCTATGGAACCACGAAGCGTGTGAGGAGTGTGCCGAAATTGCACACCCGCAAGGACCTTCGGTGGAGCTCCCTATGGGGCCACGAAACGTGTGAGGGGTGGGCCGACATGGGTGTGCGGCACGCATGCGGGCACACCCACTGGGACCTTCGGTGGAGCCCCCTATGGGGCCACGAAGCGTGTGAAGGGTGTGCCAAAATGGGTGTGCGGGACGCATGCGGGCACACCCACTGGGACCTTCGGTGGAGCTCCCTATGGGGCCACAAAACGTATCAAGGGTGTGCCGAAATGGGTGTGCGGGACGCATGCGGGCACACCCACTGGGACCTTCGGTGGAGCCCCCTACGGGGCCACGAAACGTGTGAGGGGTGTGCCGAGATGGGTGTGCGGGACGCATGCGGGCACACCCACTGGGACCTTCGGTGGAGCTCCCTATGGGGCCACGAAACGTGTGAGGGGTGTGCCGAAATGGGTGTGCGGGACGCATGCGGGCACACCCACTGGGACCTTCGGTGGAGCTCCCTATGGGGCCACGAAACGTTTGAAGGGTGTGCCGAAATGGGTGTGCGGGACGCATGCGGGCACACCCACTGGGACCTTCGGTGGAGCTCCCTATGGGGCCACGAAGCGTGTGAGGGGTGT